CTTGCTGTATGATATGGTTTGCGGGGACATTCCATTCCATCGCGATGAGGACATTGTTTACCGGGGACCGTTAGTTTGGCGACGACATGTTTCAAAATGTTCGTTTGCTTGTTATATATTAGAATTCTTATGATAATATTGAAAGAGAAGTGAAAAGTATGTCAAGATGCTCAACTTCAGGTTGCAAAAATCTGATTACGGAATGTCTGAAATATAATTCAAACGAACGTTGTGATTTGGAATATATATGGCATCATCCGTGGTTATCTGAAGGCGATACGTCTCTTCCATTGCCAATATCGGGTTTGAATTCAAGTCGCTATAAGTTAGGCAGCGTACCAGCAAAATTGGTAACACACGCGGAACAACACCCAGCTTTGCGTTACGCCATAGCAAATGCTGGTGGAAGTGACTCGCATTTGAGCGCTTTTATGTATATGTCGTCGCAGAATGGTTCAGCAATTATTGGTGCCAAAATGTCGTCCATATCTAATCGGCAGCATTCTCCTGCATATCGGTCCCTTGTTAATAGTTATCACGGAAATCTATCAATATCATCAAGCTGTTCAAGTGTAAGTTCAGGATATTGTACCACTTCCTCACCACCAGCAGGTTCGCTTATGTTGGGCAGTTATTAAATTCCTTGCCGCTATGCTGATGTCAACGAAGAATTCTATTCCTTCTCTTTATATATATGAAGAAAGATTCATGTTCATTTCCGCAAATTGTGTCGCACACACTTTCTCCTTTCAACTTATTGAATTTGTTTAACCTTTACTTGCTTTGTATCCGTAATATGTTACTTCTTGAACGCTATTCCTATTGTTTTGTACAAATCGTTGCATACTCTTACACTACTAGTAATACTCGCTGTTCATTAACTGTTTTCATTAGAAGGTGATCAGTGTTGTCTGCTTCGGGAATATTTTCTTTAATTTTTAGCAGCTGAGAGTTTTTATTGTTCTAGAAATGAAAAAATGAAGCGTGCAGTTCCAAGAATTGTTTGTTTGTTGAAATTTTCAATTTTGGTCAAAATTTCTGAGTGAAATGGAGCAGAGTAGCGTTTGTTAAGTGTTATAGCAATTGTATTGGAACGAGGAAAGAAATATGGCTTCAAAATGTTTTGCATGCTTTGTACTTTTATACCGTTTGCATACAGTGAAAAATAGAAAATGAATAAACAGTGAAAAAGTTATGAGGTTGTTGAGGACACAAGATTTAACGAAATTGGAGGGTTGTTTGAGATTTCTAGGGATGTCCTCATCATGTGCCAAGTAATGCTTTGCGTCCGGGTTTTATATTGGTGCCATATGAGGGATGCGGTAGCATCAGTGGAGCTGGACGATATGTTGGTAAAAAGTGAAGAGATTCGGGAATGGAAGTTAATTCTTATCGAGATTTGGAGATAAGTAGAATAGATTTCTAAGTTAATGGATTGCATTATAAATGACTTAGTTGTCGGAACACGGGGGCTGGAGGGATCTCGGTTGCACACTTCACGTACGGACAAATGTCGCAGGTCTGAAACATGAAGCAAACCGAGAAGACATTATTGCATGCACGCTTGTTCAGATCAGGATTTGATCTGCACACCACCTAACAATTAATGGCTTCAGAAAAATTGTGGGTTTACTGCGGAAGTCCACGGAGATGCTTGGCTGAGGTACAACGAAAGGGTGCACATCTCACTGCAAATAATTCTGGCGACAAGATAATACTAATACTCCATTACTAAGTTGCTAAGTTGCTAAAGTGAACGGATAATTTTAAAATAATATAGCTGGAAGCACTGCGGAAAATGCGATATTACTGAAGGTCAGAAAAAACTGCATCCCAAATATGAACTTTTATTACTCAGGCTTATTAATTAATATAATCATTATTAGCAAATATGATAGTTATTGCAGCCATTGCTATCATTATCAAGTTGAAGTCATGTCAATCAACTACACAAAAGTGCAAAATGAAGACAATTAATTAGAAATGATAAAGTGTCCGGGCACTATGCTTATTGAAAATCACTTTCTATAACTAGAATAATTGTTTCGGAGTAGTGGCTACTGCTTTAATGTCCTGCAAAATCTCAGTTAGAGTGTCAGAAAAGACGCGATAGGAACAGCGGAGCCAAGCGATGCTGGACTGCAAGATGAGGCTGGTCACAACAAATGATCCATTTTCGTGCTTTATTCGCTCCTATTAGGCAGCCATTGTGCAAAGTTGCCCTTCTCTGTCCAAAAAATGTCCGTAAAACTCTAGAAAATTCGATGTTTAATGATAAAATCAGCGGTTGTTGCTGTGTAGTTTCGTTCCTTCTCTCATTTTCTGCCCTATCCACAATTTCTTTTCCACAAATTTTCCGTTCACATTATTACGAGTAATATCATAAAAGCATGGAAGTGGCGACATAAATCCATCTGAAATACGCTTCTCAAACTCCTCTGACTTCCTCAAAATTCATTCCACTTCAAATTTCACCAACAGCGAATTCGAATTTTTACGGAAATTGAAAAAAGGAAAAAGAGACTTTAGATATCGGGAAATTCTCTCAATTTTCCATTCATTATCACTCCTCGGATGAATGTATTTATTTTGGTAAAAACGAAAATTCAAGCATACCGTGTTGCGATTATCATACTATCCTGAATGGAAGCACACCGTTTGAGGACGGAAGCTTCTACCGATTCCGGCGGATCTTTCATCTTTTCGATTTCAGTCAATATGATTTCGGTAATGACCTTTTGTGTTATTATCTGTCTCTAAAATGACACGAGCGCAAGATATTCACGCAGTTCACCGTCAATTAGCAAATGAAAACAGAAAACTGGATTAGATAAATAACACGTTGCATGTTCCGTTAGCTTGCGCAAGAACCTTTCATGGACGGAAATCGTCTAATTCAGCAACTCATTATGATGTCAGATTTTTTCAAATACCTATACGGAATGAGCGCGGTCGATTTGTTGTTAGATTCGGTGTACAGAAAAAGGTTTAAAAAATAATTCTAAGATTTCAGTAGATCAATGCAAACTCTAAAGTGCTAAGCTTACATTAAAATGATTAATAACTTTTT